GACTCACCCATTTCGGCAGAGGCTTAATACATTATTTATCACGTTGCTTGTCAAGTAGGATTTGCCCAGGTGTGGGTTGGACATGATGAGGTTCCTCAGAGTGTAGCAAGCTGATGACATGATCTCTCCATAGGTGTTGGTGTTTGCACTCTGGAAGGACAGGAGACGCGACACATCTGGAAGCACCTGGTGAGCTAAAGACAGAATGCTCCAATCAGCACTTAAATCAATCAAATCAATGGGACATCTTGGTTGAATACTACTTGTTATAAAGCCTGGAAGTCCTAATGGTGGTATTCTTAATGCCAGGTGGTAGTAGCACAATAAATGCTACTTTCTTTAAATATCTGAGATTGAAATGGCTCATTGCCATAAGCAGGGAGCCTCAAAAAAGCCAGGAGACCATATATACTGTTACCACCAAAACCCAGGCCAATTCAACCAAGGAAATACTCCAATATATAAACTAAAGGTCCAGAAAGACCAGCTGATCTGTTTTATCTATAAAGCACACAACAAACATGTCTTAGAAGCAGTCTATTTAACCAGACTACATGCTAGTCCAAAATATGGTGTCTTAAGAGTTCCTTCTAAGGCCTGTGGCCAAATAGCATCACTTGGCCACTATCCCAGCTCTGCTGAACATCCGTCATGGAGAGGAGAAGTGGTATACGAATGTATTTGCTTGGGGAAGTAATGCCAAGAGGGATGCTTGTCAGAATTCAACTAGAAGGTCCACAAAGGAAGGAAGGTTTGTGATGGAAGGGGAGAAACTGAAAAAACCCTTAGAAGCCTCTTTGGCTGAAGCTTCTTACCCATGGTTTTATGGAGAACAGGATGTCGGGACATGTTGCTCAGCAAGGAAGTCCCAGATCGGACAACTTCAGAGCTGCTGGATTGGAGAAGCCGTGCTATACGAGGCAATCCCTTTTCCTTCAAACCAATCACCTGGCTCATTGCATTAGACATCTGAGAGACAAAATAGAGTTTATTAGTTACCTCTAAGCCTTGCATGATACAGCTGTAATGCGCACAGTATTCTGGGGCACACTCATGGTGGACTGCAAGGTAAATATAGCTACATCATAAGCAAAACTGCAGAAAATGCTTTGTTCTTCTACAGCCACTTTCCTCACAAGCCATTTTTTATTCATTTCTGTCGATGAACAGTTTGTTAGGGGATGGGTGTTCTGTCCTCTTGTGAGCCCAGCGGGGAACAGTTGTGCCTAAGCTTGTTAACAGTTGTATCATGCACAAAATACACCTATGCTACCTCTCTTCTGACCTGAGAGAAATGCATCATTTATTGGACACAGACACTCGCATGAGGATCTGACCTCATTTACGTTAGTGTAACAGTGTGGCTCAGCAACTCTGAAAATCAGGCTGTCATTTAGGTGCTTACATACAAGAATAGAAGCCTAATTTTAAATCTTCATTTTTTTTCAAATTCTTGGCTTAACACCAAACAAGCTGTTGAACAATACTGCACTGCCAGACAGCTGCATGCTTTCTTCCAAGAGAGGCACATGTTACTGATAGACATTGTTCCCCCTTGCAGGCAATGAATATGGGGAATGTGCCGCCAACAGCACATTCCATTGGGTTGAGGTAAGTGAGAACAAAATAATTTGATTACTTTGTCTGACTATAAGAGATACGTTTGGTGTTATCTATTACCAGGCGGCTGAGCAAAGTACAGAACCTCTAGTCCAGCGGTGGGCAAAATGCCGCCCGCAGGACGGGTGCGGCCTGCCAAGCCATTCCATCCGGCCCGCAGGGCCCCTAAAAATTTAGAAAATTAATAATTATCTGCCCCTGGCTGCCTGTCATGTGGCCCTCGATGGCCTGCCAAACTCAGTAACCAGCCCTCCGCCCAAAATAATTGTTCGCCCCTGCTCTAGTCTGTAACCTAAAGGGTTAATGATGCCATTCTGCCAATTCCCTGCACACAGATTTCCTCAATGAAAGCTGGTACCAAGAAGGCTTGTGAAATCAGGCTGTATATTTGCAGTGTGGGCTTAATTTAGCCCTTGCACATTTAAACATACCAAAATCCACATCTACACCTGAAAAAGTACTGCCTTAAAAATCATGACATTGTTCCATGTCATTGATGTGCTGCTTTGCATCTGTGACATGCAGGTCATCTCACCTCAGTACCCTGAGCAATGTCATAGGGGAAAATGGTCATTATCCAGACAACAGCTGTGCTCAAGTGGTAGATTTTCAGTTGCATAAGTGGCATTTTTGGCAGGGCTATTGTGCATGTACAGGATGTTACGCTATGGCTGAGAAGGTAGGATGTACTTCCCCAAAAAGCGTGGATGAGGAAGAGGGTCATCCCACATTTTAGTCCAATAGCTAAGTGATTCGGGAACTCACTCTGGCACAGGGAAACCCCGGTTCTAAACCACCTTCACTCCGAGGGGGTCTGAACTTGTTTTCTCTGACTTCCTAGCAATGTTCTTAGCACCAGGCCAGAGACTGGGTATTGCCCAGTCTTCTCTTCGGCCCAACCCTCTTCTTCAGCCTAAATCACTGAACCTTGCATTTGATATTTATTGGGTAAAATGGATGGCAAGCCATTTCATGAGAAAGTTTCTGCTTCATAGGGAGCAAGGGTCTGAGCTACTTCTCCTTTCCAGAGCAACACCCTTCTCACTGAGCTACATACCCCCCAGCTTGCGCTCTGCCTCCTGGCCCACATATCTTCCTCTCTTGGCTGCCAGAGGACCTTCCTCAAAAGAAAGGGTGGAGAGACGCCCCAGGAAGAGGCCTAACCTGGAGCCTGGTGGTTAGAGCGCTGTGCAAGGATGTCAGAAAGGTGCAAGTTCAACCCCTGCCCCTGGTGAAGGGAGCCAGAACCTGGGTCCAAGACAGGGCAGGGCCTAAAACCCACTGGTTCTGAAGTTTGCCGGGCAAAACCTTGTTACTTATTCATGTGGTCCCAGCGCACGCACAGAGCTGTGTGCCTGACTGGCCAATGTGTTGCCTACTGCTCATGCTCAATGTGATCATTTATGTACCACTTTGCATGAGAGAAAGAGCGTTCTCACCAGTCCCCTGCTTGCAGTGAGGTTCTGCAGAGCTCCTGCACAAGCTTCCAGGGTGGAGTCTTTCTTGCTCTTGTCCATCAGGGACAGGTATGTGCGGATGGCATCAGAATGGTAAAGCCAGTTGGCTCCTCTGGGTTTGTAATCCTCCTCAGGCAGAGGGACATTATACTCATCTTCCTAAGGGAAAATAAGGGGTTGATATTTAAGAGACCGACACTTGTCACAGGACTCACACTTCATTATCCCTTGTTCCTTTAGAGGTAGCATGCAACTATCTGCATGCATCTTGCCCTTGGCATGCACAACTGACCCCCTACCTGTTGTTAACTGGTCTGGAACAGACTGACCCTCTCACCTCCCCCCATGATGCTAAGCACAGGACATGTGATGCCTCTATAATCCCCACCCCAACTATTCTGAACCCTCTTCCTGACACTGGTCATGCGGGAGTTCGGTTGCTCTTTGCCTGAACCTAGTGAGGCCCTCATATCCAGGCACTGAACAACGTGTCTTACCTCCAGTTTTCCTCCTCTGCTGTTGAAGCAGCCTGTGAGAGTTCGGTCCATGGAGGCATTCCGGGCCATGTGGTTGAGTTGGGTGTATTTATTGGGCACCTCGGCATCCAGGCGGTAGGAGAGATTGTGCAGGATGCAGAGGCAGTTCTCCACAGACTAAAATCACCCCCAGAATAAACACAACAGTTTAATATTTGGATGGGCACACGAGACAGTGCATGTATTTACAGACAGATTTACTGACAGCGCTGCTGTATATGGCATGTAGGATGCCACTGCCAGGACATAAAAACGATATGCCAAATCTTGAGTGTGACTGTCTTTGCTGTCTTGAGTCAGGCACAAAGCCCACTGAGATTATCTGAGGAATGACTGAATAAGAAACTAAATACAGAAGTGAATGATCTTCACTAGGTTGGGCCTTTAAAATATTTTCCATCCAGTACACACTAACTTAGTGAGTCAATGACAAAGTGGGGACCAGAACAAAAGTGTTGGATGGGTTCAGCAGTTTCCAGGATGACACCAATAAGCAGAATTTTCAAAAGAGCCCCCACTTGGGCAACAAAATAATTTACTGGATTTTCAAAAAAGCTCTGCAGTTTGGGAGCACATAAGAAGTTGAGCTCTTCTGAAAACCTTGCTACAGATGACACAATGGGAGCATCCGTGTTCCAGACACTTTTGACAATCTTTGGTACTTCAATGGAGATGACAACTGTGAGTATGGGTGCCAAATTTTTAAAAGCTGGGCCTAAATGCTCCTTCTTCCCATGTGTGTATAAATATATATAGACAGCAAGGAAAATGGATACAGCCCATGCCCCTTTCTACCCTATAGAAACCCAGAAAGTCAGTTCTGCTATTATGTACAGACAGTCTCTGTTATCTCTGCAAGATGAAGAGAAGCTCATTGGCAGTCCCAAACTTTGTTCTCCTATAATACCAGACACAACCTTTGCAGGACAAGAGAAGCTGCAGCGTTCTCATCTGTGCCTGGAAGGGAGCTCCTGAGAGATGTACAAAGCCTCATTTGTGTTTTTACTACAAGCTTTGAAAATATTTCTTTAAAAAAGAAACAATAGTTCATGTCGCTAGTCCAGGGCTTAGTCTGGACACTAACTGATGATCTGTGAGTAAATGAGAGGGATGTATGGTACCTTATCATCAGGTCGGTTAGCAGCCACACAGTTCTGGGCATAAGTCATGACTGAATCAACCAGGCCAGGGTAGTTTCTCATGGTCTGGCGTCCCATGTCTGCAGAACTCAGGTTCCTGAAAGAAGTCAGTTTATAAAGTGTAGGGACATAAGTCAAAGTGTATAAGTAGGGACATACGTATAAGTGTATAAGCTCACTTCACTTGCTGGTTCCTATCTGTCACAAACTCCCACACATAGCCGTTTGAATTCGACCCTCTTGTAAGGATGGCCTCTGACAAGGTGAAATCACCCATTCAGAGAGGTCCACAACAAAACCAATGCATCCTTTAAGTCTCATTTACACCTTCAATGCTGCAAAGGTCTTGTGGTGTTCTTGTGCACAGGGCAAAACTCCTCTTATATCACTATCATGGGTAAAACATCCTCTTGGAAAGAACATCTAATTACTGGTAGGAATTTTCCTTAGAGGCTTGGGATGTACAGTTAGAGCACAAAAGAAGTCAGGATATCTGTTCAGAGTTATTTCCAGAGAGAATATTAAATAAATATCAAGGGAGATAATGAGAGAGACATCCTCAAGGTCTGTAAATTGTGTAGCCGCACTGACTTCAATGGAACTATGCCAGTTTACATAAGTAGACGATTTGACTCTGCATGATCAAGGTAGCATAAGCTGGATCACCAATGTCAGGACCTAACCCCAGGTGCTATAGCAATGTTAGTGCAGAACATGGATCATCAGGTATTAAGAAAAGGGGCAATAAGGGGTGATGGTTACTCTGTGCTATACTCTTGGCCCTCTTTGCCAGGTCTCTGCTAATGCAATGGAGTTGTTACAGTCCTTGGGGTTTTAATGCACTTTAACTTAAAAGTGAAACCAAAAAGAGGTTTGCAAAAGCCCTAAGAGGCTTAGGACAAAATTCTGTTTCACTGCTAAGATGCAGAAGTGATACAACTTTTTTATGAAGATAAATCATCTACAACAACATCTGCTTTGCCTTGTGTAATGGCCAGAATTTAATGGAAGTGCTCAGAAGTGACTGAATACTGTCCCAGAGTCATCTAATCCATTTATGCTTTGTTAAGGTTAAGTTCTGCCATGCATACCCAGGGATGCAGTGAACACCCCCCAAAAGTGGGCTCAACACAAAGTGCAACCACTAGCTGTTTGACACTGTTTGGTGCACGTCTGTCTCACCTTTTCCCATCACCCAATTGGCAAGGGCACCTACCCAGTTTCTAGGCTCATTTCTTCCTGAAGGGATCTGAATTCTTATGTTTCACAGCAAAAGATACAACCTAGTCATCAGGCCTCAGGCCAGGCAGGGCTGAGAGTACCTTCCTGTTGAGGTTAGGCTACGTAGCCAAGAGGGAAGATGTCTTGGCAACAGAAAGAGAACAAATTTGATGGAGCCATACTCAGGCTCAGTAAAATACCTGAGCATCTCAGTGGCAGGGAATGAACCCTTACTTTCACTGTTGTCTGTATAGGATGATTTGGATAGGAATCAGTCTGCCTCAGGAAGGGGGTTAGACTAGATGACCTATAGAAGTTAGACTAGATGACCTACGGAGGTCCCTCCCAGCCCCGCTTCTATATGATTCAGTGAACAGCATAGAAATTCTAGAGGAGTAAGGCAAGAAGAGACAGGACATCTAGTCCAAACGCCTGCCTGAGGCAGGAAAGGTCTTCGGGTCATTCCAGGAATAAAATATGCAACCGTGGCATAATTAGCACTATGCTCTAACCAACTGAGCTAATTGGCCACTAAACACTAGTCACTTCAATAGTGGGAAGGGGGAAAAGAGAGAACAAGGAGATCAATCTATAACCAACTGGGCGCATCTACATGAGATATTTACTGCAGAGCTGACTAATTAGCTCTGCAGTAAATGTCTCAGCGTCTACACATGTGCCCCTATTAGGGCACAGGAAACTAATTAACTCTGCAGCAGGATAGTACTTGGAAATACAAGTAATACCCTGCTGCCAAGTTTTTTTCTGCACAGCAGCACACGTGTGGACACCAACCCAGCTGGCTAGGGCATGAGGGTGCTTCAGTGTGGGTTACTCTTTCCTTGTGATTATTGAGGTAATTATGAATCCACCTTGTGATAATTTTATTTAGCCTGTATTTCTCCAGTTTTCTTATGGAGCAAGTTGCTCCATTTTGTTGTTGGAGCAATGCATTGGTTGTTCCAACAAAATCAAATGTTGCTCCCTTTAGCAGGAGATGTCTGGTAAGGGTGTAGCCTGTTGCTGCATCCCCTAAGGCAGAGCTTCAGTTCATTAAAGTACCTATTTATAAATCATTTTTGGTTGTTCCCAATGTAAAGGTGCTGGCACCCAGGTTGCTAGAAGAAATTGCAAGTCAGGACTAAGATCTCCATGCAAAAGCGTTCTTTAGCTTTTCCAAGAAGAAATAAATCACTTTATGCCCATATATGAGCTTCTCGCTTGGAACCTGATGAGCAATAGGTCTGTGCAAGTCAGCAGCAATACGATCCGTCTTCGGATCCGGCCACTTCGGATGGCCACGATCCGACCCGGAGGTCCGGACCGGGTTTCCGCCTCAATCCAGCCGAAGCGGCGCCAAAGCTTCAGGGCCGCCTCGGAGATCTGGCCACAGGGTATAATGGTGAATCAATGAAATATTTATAACTTAGTTGTTTTTTGTCCAATTTGGATGAAACCTGCAGGGATGGTAGCCTCTGCTGAGAGCATGAAACCTGCCAAGTTTCAAAAATATCAGTGCAGGGGTTTGGGAGGAACTGAACCCCAAATTCGTGAAAGCCAGACTCATGTCACGTCTATGTGTTACACCACAGGGGGGTCAAAACCACAGGGCTGGTAGCTCTTACTGAGGCCACAAAGCCTGCCAAGTTTCAAGCAGATCAGTGCAGGGGCTTGGGGGAAGTGCACCCCAAGCTGCAGACAAGCAAAATGTGTGCCGGGGTGACGCTGTGCGTTAAGGCGCAGCCGGGTGACAGCTGCAGGGATGGTGGCCCCTGCTGTGATGCCTGCCAGCTGTTGAGGAGATCGGTGCAGGGGGGTCCTGGGGCCGTGCACCCCTAGCTGCTGACAGACAAAACTCGTGCCAACACTGTGTCCCTCTTGGGGCAGTTGACTGTCTGCATTGATTCTTTCCTCTCCTTAGCCTGGTGTTGTAGGTGCTAATTGATGTTCGTTAAGTCATTACGTAGCAGCTAGGTCCTGTGTATTGAGCTGGTCCCTGAGTCCCTGGGTGAATCATGATTGATTGGTAACTGGGAACACAGCAGCTTCACAGCCAGGCCTGCAGCTGTGTCTCCCCTCCTGCCCCAAGACAGACACAGTCAGTCCCACAGCACCCATGGCACCAGTTTTGCTTGTCTGCAGCTTGCGAGGCAGTTCCCCCCAAACCCCTGCACCGATCTTCTTGAATCTTGGCAGGCTTTGTGGCCTCAGTAAGAGCTACCAGCCCTGCAGTTTTGACCTTCCTGTGTGGTAGCACGTAGACGTGACAGGAGTTTTGCTCTCAAGAATTTGGGGTACAGTTGCCCAAAACCCCTGCACCGATCTTCTTGAAACTTGGCAGCCTTCATCCTCTAATTTCACCCAAATTGGACAAAAAACAACAAAGTTATAGATATTTTATTGTTTCCCCATTATACCCTATGGCTGGATCTTGGAGGTAGCTCCGAGGTGGCTCCGAACCACTTCGGGAAGCCAAACAAGGCCAGCACCTCGACCCAGACGTGCTGCTTCAGACCCCGAAATGTCCAAAGGTTCTCCGGATACAAAGCTCTGTCCGAAGCCTCTTACAGCGCTGATGAGCAACACCCAGTAATTGTAACTAGTTAGAAGACCCAATGGATGGATCCAGAACATAGCAAGCATAAAAATCAAGTCAAATGTATGAATTAGAAACAGGCACTAGAGATGACTGGAACATGCTTATTTATGGAAAAGTTTGACGTTTCATCAAATAACAGAAACCAAATTATTTTTCATTTCTGATGGCCCAAAACTGCAAGTTTACAACTGAAGACTGAAAATCTAGGGGTAAAATCTTCCACCAGCAAATTCTACTTTCCCACCCAAATGTTTTATTTCAGTTTTTTAGTCACCCAATGAAAAGTAATTTTTAAGGAAAGCAAATTACTTGCCAAAAAAAAAATGCTTTGCCAAAATTCAGATTTTCAAATTGAATAGAAACATTTCCACTTGCTCAAACTGCCCTGAAAACTTTATGAAGGAACATCAGGAGGTCTGCAATGTGTTGAATTGCTAGATGCACCAATTCAGCACCTACTTCCCTTATTAACTTTAAAAATACCAGCCAATGGTCAAACTTCCCAACTAGACATGAGGGGGGTTAGACAGTTTTGGTCAACAGACTGGCTTGCTGACACTGACAACATATAGAGGGGTATGTGCCCCCTGCCCCCAGATTTCTGTGCCAACAGCAGGGCACAGGTCATGGGGCTGCAGCCTGGCCAGAGCCAGGGCCTGGCAGACATGGGGGTGGTGTTGGCAGCGTGATTTTTGCACCAATGGCAGGCTGTAGGGCTGCAGCCCAGCCAGATCCAATGCCCAGCAGCAGCAGGGGCAGTAGCGCAGAGTTGTGCCCCTCCCCACTGTCAGCACTTACACATCTCCTATGCTTGCTGACGTAGCTACTTGTCTGCTGGCCTACCTCAAACAGCCTGTGGCATTGAAGAATACCTCTGGGTCAATAATTTCTCTTGTCCTATTACTGGTGCCATCAGACCAGCCAGAGAAAGGAACAATAACACAATCTGTCAAGACAGGGAGGGCTTCCTGTATCAACTCTTCTTTCAGTTCATCCGTGGAGGACAAGTTCCATAGCAGCCCTAAAATGAAAATGCAAGACTCATTTTAGCTCACGGTCTCCATGCATAAGAGGCCTCGATTACACTGGTGTACAAAAAGGGGCACAACTAGGCCAATGCTACTCTAGCATAAAATTGGAGTAAGTGACAGACGAATCAAGTCCTTGGCCCAGGCTTGAAAAATTCAAGACACTCTCCAAATTTCTGTCATTTTGTGAGAGAGGATTTACTCTGATCCCAGTTCATGAACAGAAGAGCTGAAGTGCAGTCATTTAATCTGAAACCCCCAACTCTGCCTCTACTGTCACACCATGTGGTACTGTTTATATAGTTCAAACATCAGCTTTTCTGTACAAGTCCAGCAAGTCACCTCTCTTATTTTGAAAAGTTCTTGACGCTAGTTCTCCCATAACGTGCACTAATAATGCAGTCTTCTTGCCTATCCTTTCCAGACAACAAAAGCATCATGCTTTCCAGTATCCCCTACCTCCCATTTAACCATGCACCCTTTTACCAAAGGAATAAAGTACTCTTAACAATAGATTCAGGCAAGGCAGAGTATGTTCAGTTAAATGGGAGATGGGCAGAAACAGCCTACTGAGACCTTGGACAGGGGACCTTTGTTATGACACAGAAGGAAATCTGAAGCACCCTGCCCCAACAAGCATATATATTTATGGATTTCAATTTAGCATGGACAGGTGTAGGGAGAATCCTTCTAATAAAGGTTCACATCCAGTACAATCAAATTCAATTCAGGATGACCTACTGCCAACAAACTCATTTGACCCTACTGAAATCCAGCCCTATAGGACACCACACAGTCTGTGCAGCATAGCCCATACTACTGTTATAAGACCCAACCAGGGAAACTAAATTCCGAAGTGGGGGACCCTTTTTTGATAATGCCCCAGATGCAGCTGTCAGATGAATGCAGGTGGGCAGTGAAAGCTGAAAAACCTTAAATGAGTACAGCTGTGGAGGTAAAAAGTGTGGAAAGAGGCAAGCTTTGAGTCTGGTCCTGGTTTGTGGGCCAGTAGCTGAAAAGCCCTACAGCAGTGTAAAAACAGTCACAACAGCTGAAAATTGGGCCTGGTTCCAGCAACCTACAATTTACATCCTCATTTACATCTGGGCAGAGCAGTGATATTGTGTCAATCCTTATCACTGCGATCTGACTAGGGTGGCCATCAGAGAGGACAGTCCGGTTGTCCTCTGTCCTCGATTGATATGAAACCAGACGCCTTTATGTCCTCTATTTTTCTCTTGAAGAGAAAACTAGAGGACATAAAGGCGTCGGGTTTCGCATCAGTCAAGGACAGAGTAGCAGAAAACCAGAACTTCCTCTGTGATGGCCATCCGAGATCTGATAGTGCTGCATGCTCAGTGTGCACAGGTGTCAAGGGCAATGCCTTGACAGGGCAGGACCAGGCTCCTGTGCTACAGAAGGAGATCCTTAGTTGTAGGAAAAGATGTCAATGGAGGCAACCTAATTTACAAAGACCAAGGGTCTCTCATTTGCAGTGTACCTGTCAGCTGCTTCTGTGTTTCAGTGTTCCCAGTTCTCCTCAGAAGGCTCACACTCTCCCTGATTCCATTCTGCCGTCGGGTTTCTATCTTGTTGATGGGATTTCTGAAGACTATGTTTCTAAGAGCCCCGGCTGAAGCCTGCTGGACATTCTGGTTTGTGCTGCGGAGGAGTTCGACCAGCTTGGCAATGCCACCCAGCCGGTAGACCTGGGGAGAAGATAATCTGTGATGAAAATCATATATAAACCATCATTGATTTTTTTTTTGATCATTAAAAGACCAAAGTGACTAAAATTATCACAAGAAGCTGGTCTGGTATATTCTCCCAGGCATGTAAAAGATACCCCGCATCCTTCCACTTCCAATACACTATGTTCCAGCCATCGTCAACTGAGACCATGCTGATTGCCTTGCTGAGTCAGATTCTAACAATTAAAGCTTGCAAGTAACCACCCTGAGCCAAATCCTTGACTGATGTATATAAGAGTTTCTCCCAACATCTTCAGCAGGACTACAGCAGTTCACCTCAGCTGAGGTTATGACCTAAAACAGTACCTAGATACTAACTACCATATAGTATAACAATAACATCCCATCTACCATATAGCATTACAATAACATCCCATCTTCATTTACTGTTATCCAAAAGCCACAGATTAAATTCAGAGGGGGGTTGTAGATGACATAGTTTCAACTCCCTTATACATGGTTAAGAACAGGTTAGGGACTGTTTAGAAAAGCTGGTTGTGTACAAGTCCACAGGACTAGATGCAATGCATCCAAGGGTGCCTAGGGAGTTGGCTGATGTGATTGCAGAGCCACTGGCCATTATCTTTGAAAACTTGTGGCGATTGGGGGAGGTTCCAGACAACTGGAAAAGGGCAAATATAGTGCCCATCTTTAAGAAGGGGAAGAAGGAGGATCCAGGGAACTACAGACTAGTCAGTCTCACCTCAGTTCAGAAAAATCATGGAGCAGGTCCTCGAATAATCCAGTTCTAAGCACTTGGAGGAGAAGAAGATGATTAGGAACAGTCATTGTGGACTCATCAAGGGCAAGTCATGCCCGACCAACCTGAGTGCCTTCTATGATGACATAACTGGCTCTGTGGATGCGGGGAAAGCAGTGGACATGCTATACCTTGACTTTAGCTAGACTTTTGATACTGTTTCCCACAGCATTCTTGCAAACAAGCTGAGGAAGTATGGGTTGGAT